CTGATGGTAGAGGCCGCTGAGTAAAGAGTCCATCAGTATTAACTCATCCATTCATACACACTCACACACTGATGGATCGAACCCTCGACCTGCGGGTTCAACAAAGTTACAGTAAATCGGTAAAATCAACATTGAAAAGACAAATCGACAGGATGGATAACGGTCAGACTGAACGTGTAAAAAGATGTTTGGAGATGAGATTTAAAAATGGAGACAGAGTCAGTTTTAGGGATGTGTAACGGATGCTGAAGGCTCTGGACCCCATGGTGGGCGGGGCGGCTGGTGGAGTGAGTGAGTGAACATTACATGACCTCAGTACATGGAGACAGTAATCGGTCACCGAGGTTGAACACTACAGACACAGACCATCACCATGACAACCAGACTTGACAGAGGACCTCACACCTACTGGGAGCTCGGTGTAACCTCAAATGTTAGCAGAGCCTAAACTCTGCGTTCAAACGAGGCTACGTTTAAACTTCAACCCGGTGCAGACGTAGAGCGTCCTGTTTGTTCTTTCGTTCACAGAGAAACAACATGAATCCACCATGAGATGGAAACACATCCTTTAACAGGCAGAAACCTCCAACAGAACCAGACACCTGCTGACGAGGTAACATGTCAGTTGTTCGTCTTTCTGCTGATGTCCCGGGAGGCGTTCTCTCTCAGATTTCTGACATTTATCAACGATCTGAGAACTTCAGGGGTGGAAACTCAGCTCTCAGATAGCCGACACTTCTACGTAGAAGCTGCTTTATTTTAAGGGGGTCCGGATCCTAAAATGTTTCAGAGCGAGGCTCCAGAATAAAAGCAGAGTTCGAGCTGGTCGGCAGCCAAACGGGCTGTTGCGGCGGACGCTCTCAGCTGGTGGTTATTTTCCTCCTGGAGCTCAGAGATGACAGACGGCAGGAATGTCAAAGAGCCGTCTGACGCCTCCAAAGAGTGCACAGCTTCGGTATAAATAGCTTCATGCCGACGAGTCAAATAAGGAAGTTTAGAGTGCGGCCGGGGGGCTAAATCTGTTCATTTACACCGAGGGGTGTTGGAGACACATCAGGGAGGCTGTTAGACCTGAAACCTCCATCACAGGAAGCACGAGCTCATTTTATTAAACATATATCAGAAGAGTGGGACCACTCTTCAGAGCCCTCCAAACGTTCATGACTGTGTTACTAAAAGTCTGAGAAAGGTTGGAAAATGTCCCCCCCCCCCCGTCTGTTCCTGCAGGGGGCTTTGGAGTCCCATCCATGACGGTCGCCATGCTGGAAATGCTGACTCAGCATAACTGAACACATTAATATACTTCAAGGCTGTCAAGTGTTTCACTTTTTAGAATTACACTTAAAAATAAATGCTTTTATTTTGAAGGTTTGTCCTGTCTTAAGCTAAGAGTACTTTACTTGCTGTGTGCCTTTATTTAGAAATAAAGTAAAGAGCTTCTAGTAGAGTGAAGGTTAGCTTAAGACAGGACAAACCTTCAAAATAAAAGCATTTATTTTTAAGTGTAATTCTAAAAAGTGAAACACTTGACAGCCTTGAAGTATATTAATGTGTTCAGTTATGCTGAGTCAGCATTTCCAGCATGGCGACCGTCATGGATGGGACTCCAAAGCCCCCTGCAGGAACAGACGGGGGGGGGGGGCATTTTCCAACCTTTCTCAGACTTTTAGTAACACAGTCATGAACGTTTGGAGGGCTCTGAAGAGTGGTCCCACTCTTCTGATATATGTTTAATAAAATGAGCTCGTGCTTCCTGTGATGGAGGTTTCAGGTCTAACAGCCTCCCTGATGTGTCTCCAACACCCCTCGGTGTAAATGAACAGATTTAGCCCCCGGCCGCACTCTAAACTTCCTTATTTGACTCGTCGGCATGAAGCTATTTATACCGAAGCTGTGCACTCTTTGGAGGCGTCAGACGGCTCTTTGACATTCCTGCCGTCTGTCATCTCTGAGCTCCAGGAGGAAAATAACCACCAGCTGAGAGCGTCCGCCGCAACAGCCCGTTTGGCTGCCGACCAGCTCGAACTCTGCTTTTATTCTGGAGCCTCGCTCTGAAACATTTTAGGATCCGGACCCCCTTAAAATAAAGCAGCTTCTACGTAGAAGTGTCGGCTATCTGAGAGCTGAGTTTCCACCCCTGAAGTTCTCAGATCGTTGATAAATGTCAGAAATCTGAGAGAGAACGCCTCCCGGGACATCAGCAGAAAGACGAACAACTGACATGTTACCTCGTCAGCAGGTGTCTGGTTCTGTTGGAGGTTTCTGCCTGTTAAAGGATGTGTTTCCATCTCATGGTGGATTCATGTTGTTTCTCTGTGAACGAAAGAACAAACAGGACGCTCTACGTCTGCACCGGGTTGAAGTTTAAACGTAGCCTCGTTTGAACGCAGAGTTTAGGCTCTGCTAACATTTGAGGTTACACCGAGCTCCCAGTAGGTGTGAGGTCCTCTGTCAAGTCTGGTTGTCATGGTGATGGTCTGTGTCTGTAGTGTTCAACCTCGGTGACCGATTACTGTCTCCATGTACTGAGGTCATGTAATGTTCACTCACTCACTCCACCAGCCGCCCCGCCCACCATGGGGTCCAGAGCCTTCAGCATCCGTTACACATCCCTAAAACTGACTCTGTCTCCATTTTTAAATCTCATCTCCAAACATCTTTTTACACGTTCAGTCTGACCGTTATCCATCCTGTCGATTTGTCTTTTCAATGTTGATTTTACCGATTTACTGTAACTTTGTTGAACCCGCAGGTCGAGGGTTCGATCCATCAGTGTGTGAGTGTGTATGAATGGATGAGTTAATACTGATGGACTCTTTACTCAGCGGCCTCTACCATCAGTGTGTGAATGTGTATGAATGGATGAGTTAATACTGATGGACTCTTTACTCAGCAGCCTCTACCATCAGTGTGTGAATGTGTATGAATGGATGAGTTAATACTGATGGACTCTTTACTCAGCGGCCTCTACCATCAGTGTGTGAATGGATGAGTTAATACTGATGGTCTCTTTATTAAGCAGCCTCTACCATCAGTGTATGAATGGATGAGTTAATACTGATGGACTCTTTATTAAGCAGCCTCTACCATCCGTGTATGAATGGATGAGTTAATACTGATGGTCTCTTTATTAAGCAGCCTCTACCATCAGTGTATGAATGGATGAGTTAATACTGATGGACTCTTTATTAAGCAGCCTCTACCATCCGTGTATGAATGGATGAGTTAATACTGATGGTCTCTTTACTCAGCGGCCTCTACCATCAGTGTATGAATGGATGAGTTAATACTGATGGTCTCTTTACTCAGCGGCCTCTACCATCCGTGTATGAATGGATGAGTTAATACTGATGGTCTCTTTACTCAGCAGCCTCTACCATCAGTGTATGAATGGATGAGTTAATACTGATGGACTCTTTACACAGCGGCCTCTACCATCAGTGTGTGAATGTGTATGAATGGATGAGTTAATACTGATGGACTCTTTACACAGCGGCCTCTACCATCAGTGTGTGAATGTGTATGAATGGATGAGTTAATACTGATGGACTCTTTACACAGCAGCCTCTACCATCAGTGTGTGAATGTGTATGAATGGATGAGTTAATACTGATGGACTCTTTACACAGCGGCCTCTACCATCAGTGTGTGAATGTGTATGAATGGATGAGTTAATACTGATGGACTCTTTACACAGCAGCCTCTACCATCAGTGTGTGAATGTGTATGAATGGATGAGTTAATACTGATGGTCTCTTTACACAGCAGCCTCTACCATCCGTGAGGAGTAGAGGTGTTACCTGCGGTGTAAAAGAGCTTTGAGTCATCAGAAGTCCAGAGAAGATCTAGGGTTAGTAATAAAGAACCAGGCCTCGGCCGTGCTTGGGCCCTGAATGTCCGAGCTCTTGTTCTCAGGCTGCTGCAGCTCAGCTGAATGTTTGAGCGTCCCAGAGGACTGTTGGAGTTTAGGCTCAGTTCTTCCTTTTAGAAAAACACGTGTTTCAGCGGAGGCGTTCCTCACGGCCACAGAGCCGCTGCACATGATTGATAGCAAACAAATGTTCAGTATAAACAGTGTTGACTCAGCCAAGGACCACGAGAGCTTCCTGGACGGACAGTCTGAAGAGCTGCAGCTGCCGGACGGACGATAGGACGAGTTTATTCTGCATGAATCATCGAGAGAGGGAGAGAGAGGGAGGGAGAGAGAGAGAGAAACTTGGGGAGTTACAGGGCGCAGGAAGCTTCCAGATAACTGACCAGCTGAGAAAGCAGCTGCAGAAAGTTTTCAACAATGACAATCCTTCATGAGAGCCAAATGTCAAGCAGAAAGCGGCACCCTGCCAAACACTGAACCTCCATCAGTTTGAGGATAAACTTCCAGTGATGTGGAAGCTAATCTGTCCTACAAGCTAACGGTGACTTCACAGTGGAAGATTTGAAACTACATCAAAGAGACTCAAACTACTACGAGAAATAATACGATACCATACGACATGACACCCCACCTGATACATCTTTATATGACACGATATGATTTGATACAGTACGATCTGACACGACACAAAATGAGACAATCCAATCCAAAACAATACAATGAACATTACGACACGACTCGTTACGATACTCTACATTACGATATGATGCGTTGTATGACACGGCCGAGAATGTGACTGAACAGATCTCCAAAAGGCTCCAACACAACCCAGAGGTTAAAGGTCAGGGACTGAATTAGCTGATGGGACACCTAGCGGACAGCTAGCAGCTCACACCTGTCACTATCAGGCCATGCCCCCTATTTCTACATCCCTTTAAACCTTTATAAAATGTAAACAGTTGAAGAGATAAATGAGCTCTAGAGACCCAAACTGTTTTTGTACCAGGATGTAAACATGTTTATTTTAACATTGGGCTCTATGGAGACTGACTCACTGCAGGAGACAGACTCTAGTGGACACTGGAGGAACTGCAGCTGTAAAGTTGTACATTTTAACATGGGGCTCTATGGGGACTGACTCACTGCAGGAGACAGACTCTAGTGGACACTGGAGGAACTGCAGCTGTAAAGTTGTACATTTTAACATTGGGCTCTATGGAGACTGACTCACTGCAGGAGACAGACTCTAGTGGACACTGGAGGAACTGCAGCTGTAAAGTTGTACATTTTAACATGGGGCTCTATGAGGACTGACTCACTGCAGGAGACAGACTCTAGTGGACACTGGAGGAACTGCAGCTGTAAAGTTAGACATTTTAACATGGGGCTCTATGAGGACTGACTCACTGCAGGAGACAGACTCTAGTGGACACTAGAGGAACTGCAGTCCTTGACGTTGCTGCTAGCATTGACCACGCACATGAGGACACAACTTAAACCATGTTGCCTCGTCCTTCTTGTCTGCTCTTTAGTCTTATTTTGAACTGGGTTTAAGGGCGTAGTTAAATGTGTAACGATGGATGGAAAATAATTAAATCAATCGTAGCAGTGAACGTCACAGAGACACGGATGATAAACTGTGAAAATTAAACCTCAGTGAAACAGTTTCTTGAGCTGAGAGAAAAAAAGGTGCGGTTGAATCAGAAATCTGTTCCACATTCTCAGCAGTTATACGAGGATTTAACATCGGCGTGCAAAGTCACAAGGAGAGGAGGCAGACGTTTTCCTGCATGGGAGGATAAAAGAAGTTCAACCTGAACATGATTTAAAACGTGCGACCACAGAAAGTCAAACGGTGATATCGGAGACGTTTTTAACCCCTCTGTGGACACATTGCTTAGCTGTATTTTATCACTTTGCAAACATGACGGTTAAATCTCCTGTTAGCTCTGGAGACAGATTTGCTGTGTGAGACGGGGGCCAATCGGCTGTCAGCAGATATTTTAACTGTTTCCTGCTGACGTTGGAAGTCTGAACATTTTCTTGGAGACATTTGGGAAGACGCTGCTGAACCAAGGAGTCTCCTGGCAGCGTGAAGGTTCCTTAAAACTCCTCTGTCAGAGTCGGGGCTGTGCTGGTTCTGACAGACTCTTTGGGTTCACATCTTTGTTTGTCCTCAAGCAGCTGCTGCTACGAGCTTGATAAAAACCTCCAGGCCTGATAAGCTTCCTGCTGATACTGAACAAAGCTATCGCCGGCCTTCACTCTCAGTTTCCCATGAGTCTTTTCTCCCAGGCGGGACGTTGGGTAACTCTCTTTATCCTCCCCGATGATACAACAAACTGTAACAGGTGTCCCGCAGTAATTCTCTCCAGCTGGCTCTCGTATTCATAACGCCAAGAAAGTAATTCCATTTCACAAAAAAATGTCACAGTTTGAGCGCCTGTTTGTGGCCGTGCGTCACTGTGAGTGTTTCCCACAGCCTGAAGACCCAAAAACACGCCTCTGTTTGCAGCTTCATGAGCCAAGCTTTCAGAGATTTCAACTTTGTGTCTGAGGAATCTTTAAGTCCACATCTGTGTTTGCTTCAGCCAGAAGAGAGGCTGCAGGGAGGAGGGTCCAGAGAGGGTAACATTCAGAATGACGGGTTATATTGTGATCAAGTCGTTAATGTTTCCTTTGAGATCAATGAGCGCTGACTTTTCATCCAGCGCCATCATGAGCTCAACTTTTTATTACCTCTGATACTTTGGCTTCTAACTCCTGCAGACCTTTCTGAAATGTCCTCGCAGCTAAGCTGTACTTTGTGTTAGCGGGGATTGTTCCATTGTCTTCAATGCTTCTGCTTAAAAACATCTGAGCAGGCAAAAGACGGAGAGGATGGACTTTTCTCATCAATGGGGGGGTTTGTAGTCAGACAAGGGACACATTAGAGTTAGAGGAACATGGGAAAGAGGATTTAGCATCATATGCGACCCTTAGAGTGCACTCACACTCGGCCCAGTTTTCCTGTACTGTGCTAAAGCCTGATTCCCCCCCCCCCCCATTCCCCCACTGGCCTGCACTCACACTGCTCCAGGACTAACCGGGCCTGAGCACGGTTACCTAACCTACCTTACCTTGTACATAACGTCGTAATACAACACGTGCATGACTTTATAAAGCTTTATGAAGCATGCTCAGTCTACAAGACAGACGGACTCAGGCAGTGGAATCAGCGTCGTCTCATCTTAAAACGACTCTGAGAACATGGCCACTACTTTACTGACTTTGTGTTTTATTCTGAGTCATGTTAGTCAGATACAGACAGAACACTCTGAGAATTCTCCATAATAAAGGCGGGGATCAATTATATGTGTTGTCCACGTTAAGTACCTGTACTTGTGCTCGTGCATGATCAACAGTACCGTGCATGAGCACACCTTCTCATCGACTGGATTTTGGGGGTCAAACCCGCTCGTGCACGGCAGGGATTGCTGAGTGTTAGCGCATTCTTAGAAAGTTCAACTGTAGACTCAGAAAGCTGATTGGATTTGCAGGAGAAAATAATTAAGTATCTAAAGCACAAAGGGTCAGAGATGTGTCTTCATTGTGTTTCTTCTTTTCACCTCAAACAGCTGTTTCAGGTGTTTTATAAAGTAACCAGTGTCTGTGTGTCTTAGTGGGATTAAAAATGAGCTGCATGCATTTATGAAGAAACTCATCGCTCAGGCTTTAATGGCGTCCTGCACGACCTGCAGCGTTTAGTAGGTTTGAGGTTTTGGCTGTTTTGGAAGAGCAACATGAAGTTTTGTCTCCCACCATTATGATATGTTTGTTTTGTCGGGAGGGAAAGTTTCATTGCATGGAGTGTTTGCTGATTGATCAACAAGCCTTGTGTCGCTAACAGTGTGTCCATGTTGTGTCTTTTTGCAGGACTGGGTGACCGCCACAGATATCAGAGTGACCCTGAACAGGCTCAACACGTTCGGAGACGAGGTTTTCAACGACCCCAAGGTCCTCAAGTCCTACTACTACGCTATCTCCGACTTTGCTGTGGGAGGAAGGTAAAGAGCTCGTGGAGGACTTTGTGCAAACTTAGGGCTGTTTTATGATTCTGGTCAAAAATCGTAAAGCTAATGACTCCTGTTTCATTACCATGGCAACAAGAATAGAAGTCCTAGACACCTGATGGTGGGTGATTTCTTAATTTTAATGAAAAAGATTGCAGACAACCCTCTGCACACCGTCTCAAATGTTCATAAACATTGTTCAGTGTGCAGGAGTTTCCTCACATGTCTTATGAAATACATGTCCTTGACCACCTTTCTGTGTGGTCTGCTTCCCTGAGGCCTGCACTGGAATCCACATGAGAACACCTTTTCCTGCACGTCAGGAAAAAAAGGTCTGGACAGGCATTACAGGAGTGTGAAACAGGCTCCCTCTGCAGCCATAATCTGTCTGAAATGTGGAACAGATTTCCATTACACAGCCAGCATTCCTGACATTCCTGGCAGGCAGGGCAGGATTACAGGGAGACCGGAATGGGGCGGATGGACCGCCATGACGGGCGGAAGAAAAAGGGAAGAGTCGCAAGCTGGAGCACCTGTCAGAGCGCCAGAGTTCAGCCTTTATTTATCCAAGGAGGGGTTTGTGAGGAGTCTTTTCCTCTGTCAGCTCCGCCCTCATCTACCTGAACCTGTTCACCTGAGAGCTGAGCTGGATTTGTCGGCTCATGTTTCTTTAACGTGCAGCTCAGGGACAGTCGTATCTGGAAAACGTCTCTTTCTTTTTTATGATCAAGAGTGCATTTACAAACAGCGTGGTGCTGACATCTTCCAAAGTACATATAATAAATGCAAAGGTGAAAATCCCAAACTGTGAGGACTGTCTCTGAGCGGACTTGGAGCCATAGCTCAAAAACAGTTTTCTAGTTACTAAACAAAACTTTAAGCTAATTTAATGAGGACCAACCAAGCCCCCAGGAAGTGCACCGAACCTTCAAGCCAATCAGAAGACTTTGACTTTAGTTTTCTACTGTTAGACCTTGACTATTATCTGTAAAATTAGCATTTTATCTTGAACTATTAGCTACTTATGTTCTTTATGTCTTCTCGTGTAAGCATTCATACTTTTAGCCCTAAAGTTAAACTTTTCAATATGGTAGTTATCTAGTGTTAGCTTTTTGCTAATTTTGACTTAGCATTCTGGCTGTCACTTTCACTTTAGCTAAAGTCACAGCTAAAGGTTTAGTTGCTAACCTATGGCAATGCTAACAGTTACAACAGTTGATCAAGGACAGTTTATGTACTTTTTGGGACTTCGTGTCGATGTATAAATAAACTTGGAACAGTTAGCTTCCTTCATGTTGGTGCAGGCTCGTGTGCAGAATCTCAGCTGACAATCTAACAAAGACTAATTTCCTGAATGCGGCTCACAGCACATGATGATTTAACTCGTGACTGTTTAGATATTTCCTGAATAAATGTTTTTTAAATAAATTTGCAGCGTTTTATGCATTCCTCCTCTGCTGTGTTCAAAGCTGAACAAACAGAGCTGAACGGGGGAGACATTTTTCAAATGCTAACTTTTGATCCTGCCTGAAATCAGATAAAGAAATAAAAACCATCCTACAAATGTCGACATTTAGTCGTGCATTTTGTGTAGCAGTCCAGTTTTTGTAGTTTCTTCAATGCCTCTCCTCGTGCGTTGTCAGTTTTTCCACAGCTCTCTGCCAAGCAACACCTGAGACAATAATCAAAGGTGGCTGCAGAGCAAGTCCGGTCCTGTTGTGAGGGGCTCTCCCCCCCGCAGGAAGTTTAACAAAACCTTTCCTCAGAGCCACAGAGAGGAAAAACTTCTTCAGACCCAAGAACAATACCAACACCAAACTGTGCTCTGGTTTCTTTGGCAGAGCGCTGAGAGGCTTTAGGCCTCTAATCAGGAGCATTTTCTGGAGGTTTTTACAGAGAAAGAGGAATAAAACGAGTATCTCAGTGAATCTGAATCCAAACTTTAATCAAGTAAGGCTGTCAAAATGTCCAATACTTTTTTTCCTTAAAGGCAAGTTTATTTATGTAGTACATTTCAACAACAAGGCAATTCAAAGTGCTTCATACAAGACATCAGAAGCATCATGACAGAGGAAAGAAACATTAAAATAGAAAATGTAAAAATCGCTGAAACAAACAATATGCCTATAAAATCTGAAAATATGTTAAAATACAATTAATTGAAATAAAAACAATTCAAATAAAAAATAGAAATATAAAAAGAGTTATATAATAACACAACAATGCAGCCAACCCTTAAAGAGACAGTAGCTGAAATGAAGCGTTTCAGTCAGAGGCTGAAATTAGGGATTTTACTGACGGCAGTATCAGAGACATGAGGAGGTTTTTGATCTACACATCTCACAACACTACTCTACAGGTGTACCAGAGTGACATCATTTATGATGACAGTGGGGGAAATAGATCTCCTTTAATGATCGATGGTAACGAAGAGATCCTGACCTGTAAAAAACAACATCTGTTGTTTAAGACAGATGTGTGGGAGAAGAATGAGTCCATCAAAAACTGAAAGGAAACTCCTGCACACTGACTAACTTGAAACAAAACACAGATCTATTGTGCACTTCAGATAATTACCTGGAGTTGGAGAAGTTGAAAAGTTAGTTTGGAATGTTTGAAGTTACCAAACATTGGGTGTCTGTGAGTTTTACTTTTGTTGCCATGGTAACCAACAGGTATCGATATCATTCGATTTGTACTTTCTGACGATGTTTATCGAGTCTCACATTAACGTTTGTTTTCATCTTGCGGTTGTCAAATGATCACCAATGAGCGAACCTTGATGTTGTCGGAGTTTGTAACGGGTGTTCTTCTTTGCCGCCAGGTGTAAGTGTAACGGCCACGCCAGCGAGTGTGTGAAGAGCGGCGGAGGACGGCTGGTGTGTAACTGCAAACACAACACGGAGGGCGACGACTGCAACGTCTGCAAACCGTTCTACAACGACCGGCCGTGGAGGAGAGCGACCGCCGACAACCCCAACGAGTGTCTGCGTGAGTCTGCATGGCTGTGACGCTTTACTGCAGCTGCTATTTACCACACAGGCCGCTGCTTTACTGCAGCTGTAAGCCCCTGTGTCCCCCTCGTGTTTTTTTGAGTGCCATTGTCTTTTGTTTTCAAAGAAGCAGAGAGCGTAAAAGTAACAGTGTCGGCCATACAGCGGCCGTTGTCAACAGACTGTTGTCATGGAGACAGGACGCACGTGCAGCTCTTTCGTTCTCTACAAATAAACTCGCCTTGCTTAGAATAAGAAAACAAATAAACATCATCGGTCTTAAACGTGCTTGTTCGATCTCAGAGATAGAGCGATATAAAGGACTGGCCAACAGAGCTCCTCCCATGATGCATTGCTGTACAGTTAACTTTGCCTTTCCAGCGTGGGGGGGGGGGGAGTTCTTCAGCATGAGTCATGACAGTCCCTGGGGGATTGTGGGAGTTGTAGTTCCTATATCATTGTGCAGATGCATGACTAACAGGGTTCAGGGAATACTCCTCCCTCACATCGGCGCCGGAAACACGAGCAGCCCGAGAGTTTGTAAAGTTCAGTGACTAGAGGAACACGCGGCGAGGATTTCACCTCGTTTGAACCTCTCTCGCCGTGTGCAGCTTCTGTTCAGTGTGTGCAGCACGGTTTACACTTGGGGGAAACAGGACCGTGTTTTATGTAGATAGAAGAGCGAGTGACCTGACAGCACAGCACGAGTTACAGGTTTACTCACCGCAGTCAGAGGTTGCTGTGCTGTGACGCTGCAGTCTGTGTTTTCTGTAACCAATCAGCCGGTGAACTGTCCTCTCTCTCTCTCTCTCTCTGTCTTTCTCTCTCTCTCTCTCTCTCTCTCTCTCTCTCTCTCTCTCTCTCCTTCTCAGAGTGCGACTGTAACGGGAAGAGCGCCCAGTGCTACTTCGACGCCGAGCTGTACCGGGCCACGGGTCACGGAGGTCACTGCAGAAACTGTGCCGACAACACGGACGGGTCCAACTGTGAGCGCTGCCTGGACAACTACTACAGAGACCAGAGCGGCGCCCGCTGCCTGCCCTGCGGCTGCAACACCGTCGGTCAGTCTGACACAGACACACACACACACACACACACACACACACACACACACACACACACACACACACGCAGCAGCCAACCGGAGCTTTCAACACATCCTCATGACCTCGCTCTGCAGACGGTCGTGTTTCATGAAAGCTAATAAAAAGCTCATTCACTCTTTCGCTCCTTTGCATCATTTGAGCTGCTAAAGCTAGCAGCTGGTTAGCATAGCTTAGCATAAATGACTAGAAAACTGGGGTTAAGACGAGGTTAAACTGTCAGCTGTGTTTTGGTGGAAGTCGTCCTGCAAGTGAAAACATGTGAAACCTCCGGTATGAACAGAAACCGCAGTTTAACCTGAACCAGCTGCTGGTCCCACTGACACACTAACAGCAGCGCTAATGGTTTGTAATGGGAGCTGATTGTTGTGTGTGTGTGTGTGTGTGTGTGTGTGTGTGTATATATGTGTGTGTTTCAGGCTCAGAGTCTCCACAATGTGACAACAGAGGAGTGTGTGCGTGTAAACCCGGAGTGACCGGAGAGAAGTGTGACCGCTGCCAGCCGGGTTTCCACAGTCTGACCGAGGCCGGCTGCAGGTATAACACACACACACACACACACACACACACACACACACACACACACACACACACACACACACACACACACACACACACACACACAGTGTCGTACAGGCCTCTCTCTGATGTTTCCAGTGGATCACACTGTATGAGTGTGTTCAGTCTGAGTCTCTGAGCGCACTCTGCTGGCCAAACATGGAAGAGCTCTTTCTCTGATCATGTGTTCACCCCACACACACCTTGACCAACTCTCTCTCTCTCTCTCTGTCTCTCTGTCTCTCTGTCTCTCTCTCTCTCTCTGTCTCTCTGTCTCTCTCTCTCTCTCTCTCTGTCTCTCTGTCTCTCTCTCTCGTCTCTCTCTCTCTCTCTCTCTCTCTCTCTCTCTCTCTCTCTCTCTCTCTCTCTCTCTCTCTCTCTCTCTCTCTGTCTCTCTCTCTCTCTCTCTCTCTCTCTCTCTCTCTCTCTCTCTCTCTCTCTCTGTCTCTCTCTCTCAGGCCGTGCTCTTGCTCGCCCTCAGGCAGCACTCAGGAGTGTGACGTGAACACAGGACAGTGTCGCTGCAAAGAAAACGTGGAGGGATTCAGCTGTGACAGGTAACCACCCCCCCCCCCACACACACACACACACACACACACACACACACACACACAGAGCTGTCAGCAGGACCCCATTAACCCTGTGCTGTGTATGAGTGTGTTACATGATGAGGATGACAGGTCATATTAAAGAAGATGCTCAGGTGTTCACCTCTCACCTCTCCAGGTGACGTGTGTGTGTGTGTGTCTCTGTGTGGTGTGGTGTGTGTGTGTGTGTGTTGTGTGTTGTGTGTGTGTGTGTGTGTGTGTG